AGCATTGGGGAAAAGCAAGGCTATGGGAATTGACAGAATACCAGTTGAAATGTTTCAAGAAACTAATGCAATGCTGACATTTTTTACTTGCCTACCCACTCCTGAACAATCTACATCTGTAGAGACACTGCCTTGGAAGTCCAAGGAGAGGTCACTATGAGTTAGCTCCAATTCCACTGTAGTGAGTTTGGTTTTTGGTTTTTGGTACATCAAGTAACGTACTTACGAATTTATTTTAACAAGAAGTGCAAGACTTTTACCTTTAAAACTTCAAAACATTACTAAAATAAATATAAAGACACCCTCTGTTTGTGGATTGGCAGATTAATTATTATTAAAATGGCAATACTCCCCAATATAATCTACAGATTCAATGCAATTCCTATCAAAATCCCAGTGGGATTTTTTTTTTTTTTTTGCAGTAATAAACAAGCTGACCTTAAAATTTATATGAAAAGATATGTGGCCCAGAATGGCAAAAGCAATCTTAAAAAAGAATAAGGTTTGAATATAGGTGTCAAGATAAATAAAAGAGACAAATAGTTTTTCCAACAAATCTTGCTGGAACAACTGGATATCATAAGGAGAAGAATCAAATTGATCTCTACTGTATACCACATATAAAAATTAACTCACACTGAGTCAGAGATCTACATGTAATTGCAAACACTGTATCATTTTTAGAAGAAAACAGAGACATAATTCTGCATGATTCTGGATTAGACAATATGACATGAAATATATGACCAAAAAAAGAAAACAGATAAATTGGTCTTCATTAATATTAAAAGCTTTTGATCCCATATACAGAGTTCTTTAAAAGAGCATAGTGCTCAGGGAAGAACTCTTTTTCAGTAGTTAAGCTAAACTATTTTTTTATTTTTTATTTTAAGAAGACTTCATGGGATATTTTTGGTTTATTTTTGATTATCTCAAGGCAGCCATTTCAGGTATTCATATACCCTCTATGGGTCCAAGAAAACAGAATTCTGTTCTGTATGTTTCTCTTTTTGATCAACTTTCTTCTATGGACTTTTGGATCAAAGTGTTCTTTGATGACAGACAGTCCCATCCAGTTCTTCTGGCCTCATGACAAAGGAAATAATTGTTCATGGAAGCAATCAGCCAAATATTCCACTTCTTCTTCCTATTCCTGACTCTCTTCTTCCTCTGTTGTTTCAGGCACAAAGGAATCTGTTGGTGTGCATTGAATGGCTGCTTGAAATCTTTTAAGACCTCAGGAACTAGACAGTGCACTGGGAGGTAGAACGGAAGCACTAAAAATTATATTAGGCCAATTATTTGGGGTGGCTCATGAAATCACGGCCTTAAACCTCTAAACCAAGATACCAAATGATATAAAATGTTTGGTTGTACAAAAGCAACCTCAGTAGCTAGTCTTTGTTGTTCTTGTTGTAAATATATCTATCACACCACATTTGCCAGTTCAGCTTTTTATAGGTGTATAACTTACTGACATCTTTCATATTAATCAGCTGTGCAACCATTACCCTTAAACATTATGAATTTCCAGTCACCCTAAACAGAAACTCAGTATTCCATAAGAATAACTCTCATTTTTCCCCCTTCCTTCCATCCCTGGTAACCACTAAAAAACTTTATTCTCTAAACATTTGCCTGTCCTTGTCTTTATGCAAGTGAGGTCACATAATATTTGTCCTTTTGTGATTGACTTATTTCACTCAGCATAACATCTTCAAGCTCCTATCTATATGGCATCAAACTGACAGCAACAAGTGGATAGTTTGGACAGGAAACTTATGGTCAATGGGTTTATGCCAATGAGGGGGAAACAATTCTGTAAAAAAGGAAGAGAATGGTTGCACAACTTGGAGAATGTAATCAATGTCACTAAACTGTACACCTAGAAATTGTTGAATTGGTGTATATTTTCTTGAGTATATTTTCAACAAGAAGAAGAAGAAATAAAATAAATTATTTAAAAAATAGTAAAGCCCAGATTTGAATAATGGTCAGGCTAAATGATCCACCGAACATATAATTTCTAGTAAAATAAAATAACCCTAATAAAAAATTACAGCCTTAGATCTTTAAAGAACACTATCAAGAAAGTGAAAAGACAATCCTCCTAATGGGAGAACATATTTGCAAATCACGCATTTTCTGTGGGACTAGTATTTAGAATATATAACAAACTCTTACAACTGAACAATTAAAAAGACAAATAATGCAATTAAAAATTTGGCAAAGAATTTGAAAACATATCTCTCTAAAAAAGTACCTAGTTAGTACCTAAAACAACTCTCAATATCATTGGCATGAGAGAAAAAGAAACAAATAAAACAACACAATGAAAAACACTCAATAAGCTGGGAATACAGAGGAAATTCTTTGATATGATAAAGGGCATTTATGAAAAATCCACAGCTAACATCTTAATCAGTGGAGAAAGACACAGAGCATTCCTCTTAAGATCACGAATAGACAAGAACAAAAAGAAGATGGGAGAATGATTTGAACAGACAATTCACAAAGAATGATATAGGAATGGCCAGTAAGTATGTGAAAAAGTGCTTAATATCATTAATACCAATGTAAATGCAACTAAAACTACAATAAATTGGCATTTATTGCTATTGTTGTGTCGTTAGGTGCCAGTTCTGACTCACAGAATCTTTATGTACAATAGAATGAAATGCTGCCTGAACCTGTGCCATCCTCAAATCCTTGCTGTGTTTGATCCCGTTGTTACAGCCACTGTATCAATCTATCTTATTTAGTCTTCAATTCTTTTGCTTATGGTCCACTTTACAAAGCATGATGCCCTTCTCCTGCGTCTGGTCACTCCTGATAACATCAGCAAAGTATATAAGATGTACTTGTAATTTCACCATTCTTGCTTCTAGGAAGTATAGTGATTGTACTTCTTCCAGGACAGATTTGTTTATTTTTCTGGCAGTCCATGGTATGTTCAATAATCTTGACCAATACCACAATTCAAAGGCATCAGTTCTTCTTTGATCTTCTTTATTCCTTGTCCAGCTTTTACATGCATATGAGTCGATTGAAAATATCATGGCTTGGGTCAGGCACACTTCATCCTTAAAGTTACAACTTTGCTTTTCAACACTCTAAAGAGGTCTTTTGCAGCAGATTTGCCCAATACAATACTTCATTTGATTTCTTGACTGCTGCTTCGATAGGTGTTGATTGTGGATCCAGATAAAGTGTAGTCCTTTACAATTTCACATGGTAAGCACTCAGGAAATATGGTTTGAATGTATGAATGAATAAATAAAAACATTATGAGCAATCACACTGAAGATCATTGGAGATGAGACAGAATATTTATCCGTAAAACCCTTCAATATTGGAACTCGAGGCTTGAATTTTTTTCTCCAGTTCTTTCAGCTTGAGAAATGCTGAGTGTGTTCTTCCCTTTTGATTTTCTAATTCCAGGTCTTTGCGTTTTTCATTATAATACTCCATCTTCTCAAGACAAAATCTTCTGTTCAGCTTTAGTTTTAGCTACTCTCTGTTCAAGAGCAAGTTTCAGAGTCTTTTCTTACATCCATTTTTGTCTTTTCTTCCTTTTTGTCTTTTTAATGACAGTTTTCTTTCTTCATATGTGATATTCTTGATGTCATCCCACAAATCATCTTGTCTTCAGTCATTAATGTTCAATGTGTCAAATATGCTCTTCAGATGGTCTTTAAATTCAACTGGGACACAATCAAAGTCATATTTTGTCTCTGTAGACTTGTTTTAATTTTCTTCAGCTTCAACTTGAATTTGCATTTGAGCAACTGAAGACCTGTTCCACAGTTAGCTCCTAGCCTTGTTTTGACTGATGATATTTAGCTTCTCTGTCACCTCTTTCCACAGATGAATTCATTTTGATTCCTGTGAATTCCATCTGGCAAGGTCCACATGTATAGTCACCATTTATTTTGATTAAAAAAGGTATTTGCAATGAATAAGTTATAGGCCTTGCAAAATTCTATCATGCACTCTCTAGTGTCATTTCTATCACCAAGGCCATATTTTACATCTACCGATGATTCCTCTGTTTCCCACTTTCACATTCCAATAACTAGGAATTATCAATACATCTTGATGGCATGTTTGGTCAATTTCAGACTGCCGAAGTTGGTAAATTTTTTTAATTTCTTCATCTTTCGCTTTAGTAGTCGGTGCACAAATCTGAATAACAGTAGCATCAACTTGTCTTCCTTGTAGGCATATGGATATTAGCCTATATCCTACAGCATTGTGCTTTAGTATTGATCTTGAAATGTTCTTTTTGACGATGAATGCAATGCTATTAGGAGCTCTGGTGGCATAGTGCCTAAGGCATTTGACTGCTAACAAGAAAGCTGGCGGTTCAAACCCACTCCTCAGAAAGAAGACTGGACAATCTACTT